CTACACACACACACACACACGTAATAGAGAAAGGGCAGCTGGCTGAGTGCAGATGTAGTAGATACAAAGAAGATGAAGACGCCATCAAAGGAGCCAACTGCACCGGGAGCACCACGATTGGCAGTAGCCTTGGCAAGAGTAGACATGGGAAGCACCCCCGGCCGCCACAGCCCACCGCTGCCCCCGGGGCAGCCGGCCCCCACAGAGGAAACACTAGTTTACTAATGAGACTAAGATAAGTTAAGAAACAAATTAAACATAAACAGCGGATAAATACAAATCTAAATTAAACACAGTGATAAAAGATAACCAGGTAGAATCATATAATTAAATTTATAAAATATTGTACCACAAAGTATTAAGACTAGTTAAAACTAATAATTATTACAAGTTCAAATAAATATGTAAGAAAATATGTGTTATTTAATTAAAAGAGTAAGTAATAAAACACTGATAAAATATATATAAAAGATGGTAAAAACAGGCTAAAATAGATCAAAATCACAGGTCCCAATGGTATGCAGATGTGGCTCAGGGCCATTGTTTTCCTCCGTCTTGTTTCCTGGACTATCTCTAAATGTGGTGTGTGGAGAAACAAGCCAAGTCTCTTGTTTTAACTCATTAAGTAGCTCCCTGAAGAGCCCATGTATGAAGGCTCTTACGTATCTTTTAGTGTTATTGCAAAACGTTAAAAACTCACATGACATTAAACCATCTCCTAAGCACTTTTGATACATATAGAAAAATGGTTTAAAGGATTGTTATCACTTTGAGAATGACTCTAAATGCATCTGTGTGTTGTGAGGTGCAGATATATGGCTTCGGGGAAACCACCATTGCAACTTCAAAACAACATAATGAATTTTCCATGGCAGTAAAGGATCGTTTTCCAAATCAATTATTCAGGTCCACTGCTCACTGAGACCAGGTTATGGCTTGACCCGGTGGTGCAGCCCCGGCTGCCGCTGCTGCTCCTGAATCAGCATCTTGTGGTGGAGCACTTGTCTGAATGGCTCACATAAGTAATTTATATGGAAACTATAAAACTTGTTTGTGTGTGCTGGTATGGTTTGCTTTATTGGAGCTGGAGGACACTTTGGATGAGATGAGAGACACGGTATAAAAAAAATGGCTTTGGGTTTGTAGCCTAACGGAGCCAAAGGCCTGAGGGACAGGACAAACAGAGCGTTGTCACATGAACATGGGGGGTTACATAACTGCTGTCATGGCAATGTTGCCTGATTACAGTTGTGCAAGACAGAAATGCAAGTCACCACACTTGTCTGTGAAATGCTTGGTTGATTTGAACGTTACTAATGTGTCCTACAGAGTTAAACACATTTCAGACAGTAACAAATGAGTCCCAACACAATCAGATCAAACCGTCCATGTCTTAATTTCCTGCTTCACTTCTCACAGAAACTGAACGAATCTTCCTTCAATATTCTTTGTGGAATGAAGTGTTTTGTGATTTTCCACATGAAGCAAGCTGCTGAGTAGCTCTAATCATAGAATCAAATTAGTCTCACAGCAAGCTCTCACACATATGGATCCACACTGCTGCTGACAGCACAGAGACAACTCCAGGAGCATTTTGAAAGTCTCAAAAAGGCTTCAACACAGTTTTTTTCTTTTTTCATTTATATAAACACACTGATCACAATCTGTCAGTTACTTATCATCTAACTCTGACACCAACAGCCTGATCAAAAGAACAACTTATTAATAAAATAATGATGGTCTTAAAAACCAATCATTACTAGACTTAATTAAATCAGTTAAAAACAAGCAGAGCCATTATCATCCCTTTAATTTGCTAAATGAGAGAATTAATGGCCTCAGCTACAGATTCAAGAAGCTGTTGCTGAATTAAATTATTTTATTTAATTATTTATGCTAATGAATTGATCACACCTTGTTAAAGAATTGCAGAGACCATGTTGGACACAAAAAACAATATTTAAAAATCTGGAAGAATCTATCATTGAGGCTTGTCAAATGCATTTTAAGTTTCTTTTCTTTTTTTATCAAAATCACTTTTATTCAAATCAGTGTTAGAATATGTAAAAATAAATAAAACACTTTTTTTTGTTATTCTACTGACTTTTTTCTTCCAATATAAACAAACCTGAGTTTTATTAAATAGACGTTTCATGTCCTTTACACCTTAAGCAGCAATCAGCACTCCGATAAAGATTCACACCACTGTAAGCCGCATCTATAATATGTGAGAATGTGAATGTTTCACGTCATATCTTTATATTCTCGTTATACGAGGCAATAGAGAATCAGTGGCCGTCATCCTGCTCCAAGGTCAGAACTTCAATTCCCATCCATCCACATGTCAGCTTGTCCCTGGCCAAGACAATGAACTCCACATTAACCCCAAAGCGCTCAAGAGGGTGCGACCGCACAAAAATAATGGCTGCATGTAACAGGAGCAAATGTTAGAAAACAGTTTTAAAGATGTGGAACACTGAAAACCCATATTTTATTATTATTCCTGATTATAATTGATCAGAGCTTTTCATGCAGGCTGGACATGGAAATAGTCTCCTACGCCTATCTGCTGCATTAGCTTCTATTAGAAAACAGGCGGCGAAACTCTAGGATCTGAATATTCTGACAGATCTACGTCACACTGTCACAGAACATTCATGGACTCGCCCATCTTGACTCACGACAGGGACGGCTGTTGTTGGATTAACGTCCAGCAAACAGCAGAGAACATCTTGGCTAGCAGAAAGTAGCCTTCACCACACAGCAGAAGCTCCTCCAGGAGATAAAACATCAATATTGCGGGTCAGTGGTCTTCGTCGTCGTCTTCCTCCTCCGCTTATCCGGGTCCGGGTCGCGGGGGCAGCATCCCAACTAGGGAGCTCCAGACCGTCCTCTCCCCGGCCTTCTCCACCAGCTCCTCCGGCAGGACCCCAAGGCATTCCCGGACCAAATTGGAGATGTAACCTCTCCAACGTGTCCTGGGTCGACCCGGGGGCCTCCTGCCGGCAGGACATGCCCGAAACACCTCCCCAGGGAGGCGTCCAGGAGGCATCCTGACCAGATGTCCAAACCACCTCAACTGGCTCCTTTTGATCCGGAGGAGCAGCGGTTCTACTCAGAGTCCCTCCCGAATGTCCGAGCTCCTCACCCTATCTCTAAGGCTGAGCCCGGCCACCCTACGGAGGAAACTCATTTCGGCCGCTTGTATCCGCGATCTCGTACTTTCGGTCATTACCCAAAGCTCATGACCATAGGTGAGGATTGGGACGTAGATCGACCGGTAAATCGAGAGCCTGGCTTTCCGGCTCAGCTCCCTCTTCACCACGACAGATCGGCTCATTGTCCTCATCACTGCAGACGCCAAACCAATCCACCTGCCGATGTCCCGATCCCTCCTACCCTCACTCGTGAACAAGACCCAGAGATACTTAAACTCCTCCACTTGAGGTAGGACCTCTCTCCCGACCCGGAGTTGGCAAGCCACCCTTTTCCAGTCGAGAACCATGGTCTCAGATTTGGAGGTGCTGATCCTCATCCCAGCTGCTTCACACTCAGCCGCGAACCTACCTAGCAAGAGCTGAAGATCAGCCCCCTCCATCACCCTTGCAAGGGTATAGAGCTGGTCCACAGTTCCACGGCCAGGACGAAAACCACATTGCTCCTCCTCAATCTGAGATTCAACTATCGATCGGACCCTCCTCTCCAGTACCTTGGAGTAGACCTTTCCAGGGAGGCTGAGTGTGATCCTCCTATAGTTGGAACACACCCTCAGGTCACCCTTCTTAACTAATTCACTGCCAGCCGTTTCCTGATCGCTAACGGCCTTCGCTGCCAGCGTTTCTCACTGTTTTTACTGTTTTTTTAAGAGTCACAGAACGTTGCGCGCTAGCATGATGTCGATGCCAAAACAACCTAAACAAAGAGGAGACTCACCTCTTACATCAGGAAGAAGCCGTGTGTTTCGAGCGTTATCCGTTCTTTCATAATCCGTTGTCGAATTGTGATCGGCAGACGCTTTTCCGGTTCGCGCCTCACCTTTTTTTTACAGGAACGGCCCAAAACGATCTCCAAACACATGGATGGTCTGCTTCCTGATCATGTGATCTGTGACGTATGTGGATGAAGATCGGCTGCAGGGCTGAGATGTTTGTTCTCTCAGCGCGGGGGCTCGTTCCAATGTTCAAACAGTAAAAAAATGCAAATGACGACTTTAGTCGTCATTGGCAGTGAACGGTTGGATCTAAAATGACGACTTTAGTCGTCAATGGCAGTGAACGGTTGGATCTAAAATGACGACTTTAGTCGTCAATGGCAGTGAACGGTTGGATCTAAAATGACGACTTTAGTCGTCAATGGCAGTGAATGAGTTAAAGATGGGGACCACCACCCCGGTCTGCCACTCCACAGGAACTTCCCCCAATGACCACGCAATGTTGCAGAGGCGTGTCAACCACGACAACCCTACAACATCCATAGCCTTGAGATACCCAGGACGAATCTCATCCGCCCCCGGGGCTCCGCCGCTGTGTAGTTGACTACCTCAGCAACTTCTGCCCCGAGATTGGACAGTTCATCCCCAGGTCTCCCGGCTCTGGTTCCACCTCGTGTTGCTGTTATCCAGAGGTGAGACGTCCAAAAGTTTATCTGTTTGCAGGCAAAGAACAATGATAATGTTACAATAAAATAATAATAAAATGTACATTAATTATACACATTTTCTTCAACTATTTATGTTTTCTTTTGAATTCCTCAGGTCTTGCTGCATCTTTTTCTGCTTTCCACCCGCCCCTCCGTATGTAAACAGAGGAGTGGTGTCAGGCGGCAATCAATTCAAGGGCATGTCCTCAGGCAGGCTCTTAATGGCGGCAGCTGCAGCCCACTGCAGTGATCTGCTCCAAGAATGGCAACCAGCAGGAGGTCTTCAAGAATAAAATGTCGGACTGACCATCTATTCAGGAAAAAACCCACAAGTACACACATGCACATCACTGAGCCACTGATTTCCATCATAAATTATTTTATTGAGTATTTTTTTAAACAAAATATCAGTTACAATAAAAGTGAAAGAGAAAAAAATAAATGTTTCAGCTGCTCGTGCAAAAGGTCATCGTTAAGAGAAACAAAAGGACACATAAACGACATGTCACAGTGCCAGATGCTACCACACAAAAATAAGGTCGGTCGAAAAAGTTAAAGAAAGCAAACTAAAGACATAAAGCACCAGTGATTGATTATAAACGATCATGAAGTAATCAGGTGAGCTGTCTGTGATGAAAGACAACAGTAGTACAAATGCTGGAAAGCATTTTGCCTAGAAACTACTCACAGCAGGAGCTTGCATGTCATAAATCACACCCCGTATCTTCCTCTCACTGCAGACCTGCTCTGACTATTTACCACAATCATAAGTCAATCATGCAAAAAAGCTATTAAACACCAAAGTGTTGCTTATTTCGCCCTGATATGTCCCTCAGCAACTATTCAGAGTACACATGCTCCACATTACAATCACATCATTCCTCGCTTACCTCCTTTTACGTCTCCTAAATGTCCCAAAGTGAACTGACAGATGCCCGTGCACGCCCAAAACAGGGCTTCCAGGTACGCCGCTCACTTGTTTTTTTGTACATTTCAGATTAAACATCAGGCATATTATATTTAGCCAAAACATCTCAAAACTGAACAACATAACTTGTCATATATATCTAACATTAACCTCAGGTTAAATGATTCTAAAGGCTTTTTATAACTTTACAAGATCATGAGAAAACAACCTTTAACCACTGATATCAATACTACTTTCAGATGCTTCAAAACACAGAGAACACAGAACAGTTACAGGAAGACATTCAGGATGGAACAGATTTACGGACATATCTACAATTCAGTGTTTTGATGCACAGTTTACACAAACACACACACACAGAAGAGATTCTAACCAGGACGCTGGCCCTTTAAGATCGTTATGATTTCTTTGCACCAACAACAGCACAGCTGAGTAGTATTCAACCTCATCTTCTCATCTCTACACATTTATTATAATTACACAGTGGAACCAAATAAGTTTGTGTCAAGAAATCCCCAAACTAAATATTTATTCTAAAATATTCTGTAAAAAAACACTTTCTATTTGCAGAGATTATTTCTTTAAATCCATGATCTATTCTTTGATATTAAACACTTTCTAGTATTGCACTGTACTTATATTTGAACCAAATATACATTTACTTGAACAGTATGTAAATATCCACATATGCCAATGGGCTCTGCTACTTGGACCTCATATGTTCACAATGACTTGAATAAGCAGGTGAGATAAAAGCAGCTTTGGACATAAAAATAAGATTAGCTGTGTGTTTGCAGATAATAAATACCATATCTCTCACTTCATCAAAACAAATCAGCTTTAGCCTAACAACCCTGACAAGTGTCAAAGCTGGAGACAAACACCCGTGATGGATTCAACATGGAACTGCTCCAAAACTTAAGTGGTTGACAGGAATCGTCTCCATCATACCAACCTCATTAAATGGAGAGCTTCCCTCTGAGGCTGCGCTGATGTAAACAAAGGCGAAGGGTGCGTTCAGATTACAGTCAGAGTGCTGGAATTTAAAAGCACGCAGCCTGTTGTTCCTCAGATTTCTGACATTTCAGCTCTCGGCTTCCTCCCAAATACCGACGTTAAGAAAGCAGGAACCGCATCGGCATTCACGTACTTCTAGAAGCTTTTCCATCATTAAGGAGTAGTTCAGATCATTATGTTAGGAACGTTCCTGTTTGGAAACTTCTTTATCAGCAGCATCCGTTTGCAGAAACAGAGATTAGTTGTGATTTCACAGACAAGCTAAAGGTTAAACATTAGTTACAAAGTCTCATAAAACAACTCCAAGCCTTAAAAAAATTAAGTACTTCATGCTAATTTTATTTTTGATCCTTTACATTTTTATAAATATTATTTATTTTTAAATTCCTGGTAAATTTACAATGAAATTCCAGCCAGAAATGCTACATTTGGTACAAAAAATAGTGAGATTGGAGTTGTTTTGGAACAGCCACTAGATTAGTCATTTGCTCAGTCTGAACTAATCTCCATTTCTCCAAACTGAGGTTGTTCAAAGAGCTATCAATGACAGATATTGTTTTATCTGCGTACCAAAACACACTTTAAACAATCTGAAGTTTCCCTTTGAAGATAAAATGTGCCCATGGGAGCAGATTAAATACAGACCACCACTAAAAGCGACTGAATACGGTGTAAAAATAAAAGAACCAAGACGGATCGCAGATCAAGAACATCATTTTTCACACTGTGACGTTGCTCACATTTTTGGTCATCTGTGTGGAGTGCAAGGAGCAGCACGGAAGTGGCAAAGCGGTGACTATCGAGTACCTTTACAGCAGTTTAAATGCAGTCATCTCTGACAGCTACTTTGTAGACAGAACTGCAGATACACAGTGCAATCAGAACCTGTTAAATAAGTTTTGTTTAAAATCTGTGAATGTACAATAGTAAGTTTTCATCTGAATGTAAAAATAACACTATAGATAGTATCTGTTCTATTACAATAGACCTGAAGAAGAAAAAAGTGAGGTAAAACTCAAATAGCTACTGCATTCCTTTGTGAGAACAGCAGCCATGTTGGAGGTTTATGGAAACAAATATCAAGGCATTTTAGAAGCGATGGGTCCCAGTCTTCACAAATACCACCTTCGTGACATATGAATATGAGATTTAATGTTATAATTTATCCTCTGGAAAGGGAAAGTAATGTTTTGGGGGATAATGTTGCAGGAGTTTTGCAAGAATGGAAGAAAAAACAGCTAATTTAGATTACTAAGTATTATTTCTACCATGTAAGTTTGATGATGATGTTCTAACAAAAACTAAATACAGCTATAAACTTCCATCATGGCTTATAAGGCATTTCAATGAAATCACATAGGAAATATACGCCTTTATCTGTATATAAAATAACGTTTTTATTCATATTTATATAATATATGATTTATTTTAGATGTATGTCTTCTGTTTCAGCGCGTGACTGGAGGGAATCGTTGGAGGACTGAGAGCGCAGCTAAACAGCGACGCCTGTCCTAAATCAACGTGGATGCGCACATGCAAAACAATGCGACGGAGAAACACCACGCCATCAACTCAAGTGTAGCTACATCGTCTCCTGAAATGAGTGGGGGAGCCCAGCGCGTTTTCCGTGGCAGATTACATAACGTGAGCATACCTCCTGTCACCAAAGGGTACCGAGCCCTGACATTTGACCACATCCCACCGACCCCGGGACCCTGTCAGGCTCTGGCAACACGGCAGACGTTTGGAGAAAATAAAACCATGGCTCAGTCATTTCTGTCGCAGCGTGTGGATAGCTGGCAATGGCAGAAATCATATATCCAAAAATGTAACAGGCTGCAGTCAGAAGTAAGGTACCCCGGGGATCATTACGCGCAAATAGCGCACGGAATGCGCCACTGCAAACGCGCACCTTCAGATGAAATGAATCCAACCGTTTTCCCATTCCCGAGGTGGCGACATCTTCAGCTGGTGGCGTCGCACTTTGTAGTTGTTCCCGTTGTTATTGTCCCAGAATTCCCGGCCACCGACGCAGTATTTAATGGCGAACTGCAAAGTGCCGCCGTTGTCCAGGTAGGTGGGCATGACGATTTTGAAACGGAACTTATCGGTGACGCCGTCGCTCGAGTCGGGGACGTAGGTGGCCAAGCTGTCCATGAATGTGATCCAGTTGTTTAGAGAATAGCGCAAAGACACGCTCTTCTCGAAAGCCATGTTCAAGACGCGCACGAACCCGGAGAGGCTGAAGTCGTCCGTCTCCACAGTCTCAAGCAGCACCTTCACCTCTCTGACTTTCTGCTGGAAGCCGGGCATCGTGCCTGGGTTAGTGAACTGCAGTTCCATGAACACAGACTGCGACGGAGCCCGGGGGAACTTTGTGTCCATCTGGTGGAGAGTTCCTTTGGGTAGTTTCGCCAGGATGCGCTCCGGCACCTCTGGATCATCTGCATCATCGAAATGCTTCACCGAGATCAGCTCCAGGCCCAGCGAGTCGGCGAACCGGACCTTTTTCTGGCTGGTTGGACTTCTGCTGCGCACAATCTCTAACTTGGCTCTTTCTATAGGTGTAGGCAGCGATTTGCACCTTCGGCGAAGGTTTGGGCTTTGTGGCGTCTTCAGAAAAATCTCTCTGCCTCTGGGCCTTTCGTCCACTACCGGGTTCTCCATGGGTTCACAAGAGCCGTTCATCATTTCCAGATCTTCCCCATCTTCCAGCCTCGGGTTTGCCGCCGTGAGACTCCCGAACAGGCCGGCTATGCAGCTGTAGTTCCTCGGAAGGCAGTTCTTTGGGGGAAGCATGGCCGCGGCAGGACACACCGACTCCGTTTTGTCAAAACACCACAGCTCCTGCACTGCAGAGCCGAGGTGGTCGTGATGAGAAAGACCTGAGAGTCAGGTCTCGAAGAGCTCAGGTGGCAGTGTCTCTCTCCAGGATTGGCGCTGTTGTTGCGTCACAAGCTGACACACCACCGCTCTGGACCAATAAAAGGAGCTGTTCTTGTACAGCGGATGAGAGCAAGGTTGTTGCTGCGGATAGGTCACAGAACACAGAACTCACTTTCTGCTCAGATTAAAGTGAATGAAAGAAAGAGAGAATAAATACATATTTTTAAGTAGTACACACGCATCATCACGTAGGCTTCCATCTCTCACGCGCAGGAGCATTTGACGTCTCTTGCGTACGTGCAGAACTCAACGTTGCGTCTAACCACAGCGATTTCTTCCTTTTAGGGAAACAAACCCGAAAACTTCCCCTTCATAGATGTAACGCAACGAAAGCAGATCATGTAACTCACCAAACAGGCCATAATTAATTATGTGATATAGAGATATCTTATGAAACGCAATTTTCACTTTTAGCTATTTTTGTTTGATGCGCGTTTATTCGTGCGTATTTTTATTTCTAAGAATGTTTTTATCCCTCTGTCATCAACATGCTGCGGGTGACCGTGTGCATTTTAGGTTATTGACCAGCCATTACAAAAACAACACACACACACACACACACACACACACACACACACACACACACACACGAGGGTGTCTGCATCAGAAGTGCGTGCCCTCAGTGCCCTCCCATTTCCTCTACGTCACACCCTTCCTGTGGAGCTGTTACCATGGCGACGGCGTCAGAACTGCGTAGCTACTATGTGAAGGCATTCAAAACCTCCTCAGGAACAAAAATCTAAAAGTAAAGGATAAAAAGCACTACATCACAGATGAAAGTACGACAGCATCATTTTGTTACTTGAGCACATATTCGTGACACATTGTTTTGGTGTGTTACGCTGTTTTGTTGTTTTTAAAACAGCTGGTTTGACTTTAACTTGCAGATCGTTTCGTTTTTTCACCACAGGCTGACTGAACAACATGTCGACCCAGCAAGAAGGAGATCAGACGGCGGTGAACAGAGAGGACAGCAAGCTGTCAGCCCAGGAGGAGGACACAGCAGGAGAGACAGGGAGGAGACATGTTGATGCCCTCCTGGACATCAGTGAGGACAACTTTAGAAAAGAACAGGAACCATTTGAGGATCACGATTACTCTGGTTGGGAGGAAGCTGTAAGTGAATCTTCTCATTTAAACATCATTATGAAGCTATTTCTTTACTCAAAAGCAAATATTTGTGTTGACTCTGCTGCTTATAGTGAATGTTCACAAAGTACTTTGATATTTATTATAAGCAGTAAAATGTGGAAAATTTCATATTTAACAAACTGTTTAAAGACTCTAAGGACATGATCTCTTGTTACATGTCTGGGTTTTGCAAAAACATTAAATCTGATGCTTTTTAAAAACAAATGCAAGCAAAAATCCATCTGCTTGGAGGAATTTTCTTAGAGACTACTAACCTAGGAAATAAAAATATTTCTGTATGAATTAAACAGATTGTAAGTTCTACTTTAATTTCTCTTTTTCTTTTTACAGATTTAGGATCGCATACTTTATAAACTTCTAGATAGGATCGTTGTATCTTAATAGTCAATCACACATTTATTTAACTATATTTTTTCATCTGGTTTTAGGTTTTATTAATGCAGAAATAGTGAATAGAAGTTCATGAGATAGCATTTATAATGAACTGCATCCAGCATCCATCCATTTCCGGTCGCTTATCCGGGTTCGGGTCACGATGGCAGCAGCCTAAGCAGAGAGGCCCAGACTTCCCTCTCCCCAGCCACTTGGGCCAGCTCCTCCGGGGGAATCCCAAGGTGTTCCCTGGCCAGCCGAGAAACATAATCCCTCCAGCGTGTCCTGGGTCTTCCTTTAGGTCTCCTCCTGCTTGGATGTGTTTAAAAAACCTCACCAGGGAGGCATCCAGGAGGCATCCTAACCAGATGTCCGAGCCACCTCAACTGACTCCTCTCGATGTGGAGGAGCAGCAGATCTACTCAAAGCCCCTCCTGGATGATCAAGCTCCTCACCTTATCTTTTTAGGAGAGGCCAGAAACCCTGCAGAGGAACCTCAATTTGGCCGCTTCTATCCGAGATCTTGATGTTTCTTTTGGTCACTACTCAAAGCTCATGACCATAGGTGAGGGTAGGAATTGACAGGATTGACCGGTTCAACTGTCTCTTCACCATAACACAGTGATACAATGCCCACATCACTGCAGATGCATCCATGGACGTAATTTTTTTGGGGAGGGGATGGGGGGGGGAGAGATATGCCCCCCCCCCCCCCACACACACACACACACACACACTTTTTCCAATGTCAAGTTTTGACCCCTGCACTTTTTACCATCCAAAAACAATATTACGCTATATTAAATTGACACTGGTTGAGCTCTAGGACCAAGCAGAAAACAACCGTTTGTGTTGAAGCCGGTTTCCCATTAGAGCATACTGTAAAGATACACCCCCCCCCACCCACCCACCCCCAACCCCCGTGTCCCCCCCCACTTCTAAAATGAAAATTACGTCCATGGATGCATCACCAATCCACCTGTTGATCTCAATGGACGAAATGTTTTATAATAAACGCTCGCGTTATTAGACTAGAACAGGTCAGACCTATTTGTAATCATAATTGAATCTTATTGTCACATTCTGTCCTGTCTCCCCATTCTGTTGAGTCCTGTGTCCATGTTAATTGCTCCCACCTGCCTTTCGTCTCTTCTTCTTCTTCTTCTTCTTTTTATGGTTTAGCAAAGTTTTAATATGGAACATGCTGGACATAGAAACAATGAACCGGCAAGACAAAAAGGACTGACAGGGTTTAAATACAGGAGGAGCTGGGACCTTGCGTGATTGGGAGACGAGAGGTAGGTGGGAGCAATTAACATGGACACAGGACTGAACAGAAAGGGGAGACAGGACAGAGTGTGACACTTACAGCACTTTAATTCCATGTGACAATAATTACACATGTGAGGCTCAGTGATTCTTACTCTTTACTCATTACAGTAATTACTGTATTAAATTTAAAGTTTGCTTTGACTCTACAGGTCACAGGCTGGTCTAGAGCTGCACCCAGCTGCATTCTGCAGATCCACAGCAAACTAAAGCACAAGGAGGCTGACCACCCGACCCTTTTGTCGGCCGACCAGACACCTTCCAAAGCGGACATCTCCACCAGCACTTCGGAGCTGCACAGGAAGTCTCACGTTGACCTGGCTGATTGTAACAAATCTGTGTCACCAAACAAACAGATCAACTCTTTGGATCCAACCGAATTGTGTTCCACTTCAAGAGGCACAACAGAATTCCTGTTTAAGGAAAAAGCGGAGCGGCCGTTTGGAGACAAACATGTGTGGCCTTACCATTTCTCCCCCCAGTACACCATGCATGAGAACAGACATACTATGCCTCAGAAGCCCAGCCATAAACCCATTAACAAACTGGTTCCTATTAAGAACATAGTTTTTCCACCTCCTATGCCTCCACAGATCATTCCCAAGGTCAGCTGCAATTTCTGCAGATGCAGGCAGACTCAAAATAACAAAAATCATGGAGAAAACATGTTCATGCTTGATAACAGAAGGGGACAAAGAGGGACAGGAGTGGACAGCCTTCTTACCTCTAAGAGCCACTCATGGCAGCACAACCCTCAGATGTTTTCCACTCTGAATGTTTCCAACCCCACGAGGAATCAATTACATCCTGAGGCAGTGCACCCCACGAGATACTCACAAGCAGTGGTGCAACCCCATATGCCCCCCCGGTACCTGCTCTCATGAGGAGATAAATGTTTAACCAAATAAAACATCAGGATTTGAAATGCAGAGACCATGTTTAGAGGTTTGTTTTATAGTTCCTGTATTCTTGCTTCATACTGAGCTTTTATTTTGGCTTGTGAAAATGGAATTCACCTGTACTTCAGCTGCTTTTTACACGCTTAACGGGATTCTATGCAGGCAGGTTCAGTGAAGCGCTCCGGTTCTCGTTTCTAGAACTAAAGCTGCTGCACTTCAAACAGGAGCTGCCTGAAAACTTCAGCGTGCACTCAAAAAAGAATTCTTGGCCCAAAATACCTTTATAGAAGATTCAACTAAAATGTATAAAACCACAACTGTTGTTTATCTAAACAGTTGAATTAAAGTCAAATATAAAAAGTGTAAACCTAAACTAAGCATGTTTAGTTCGAATCCCATTTTAGGACTTTTAACCCTCTGGACGCAGGCGTTGCAGATTTGCAACGTTAAAACCTACCTGGTTACTCAACATACGTATTTCAAGAGCATTTTTTCACTCAGAAGTACCGCTGAAGGACTTAGTTGTTCATCCTTTTATCAAAACTTATTTTGAGCCTGAGAGGGTTAAAGAATTTGCTAGGGGGCAGCACATCCCCAGTGGGCCGTTTTCACTTCATTTGGGCGGAAACGGAAAAAACACACACCCAAAAAAAATTAAATGGATTCTCGGCCCTAGGAATTACCAACAAAAAATGTTGTGTAAGATTTAACTAATATTTATGAAAGCACAACCGTTATTTATTAATAGTTAAACTCAAATCAAATAAACATAAGAACAGGTTACTTTTACTTAAAGAGCAAGTCACCCCCTACCAGAGTATTACTCCACTCCCACTTCCTGTTTGAAAAATGAAACAAATGCTGTTGCCTAGCAGACCGAGAGGGCGGAGCCGCTAACAAATGCACACACACACAGGCTCACAATGACATTGTGACATTATATCGTACCAGCTAACGTTCTAGGGTACCTCTCAGCCAATAGCAATGGCAGATTCAAATTCAACTGCAGTGCAGAGTTTTGACCTGACAACGGCACTACACTGACAGTTTTCGGCAAAAATTTTAACTAAAATGCACTAAAGGGCAAAACTATTGACTGCACGTGTCTGCAACACGATTAGACATGCATTTATGTAGTTTATCAGAAAGTTGATTTGGGGGTGACTTGCTCTTTAAAGTGGATCTTTCATTGAATTTATGTAACACAATTTTATGCAAAATGTATATGTAATCAATGCATTTTTTTTGGCCAATCCTTGTTTTCTTTTCCAGCTTTTTCAACATTTAAACAAATATTGTTTATTATGCATCCCAAGACATCCAGATCGTATTTACCAGCTTCCAGATTTAGCAGGGTGAGATTATGTACATTTTAACAAGATGAAGTTCTAAAAATGATCAAATGATTTTAAAATCATAATCTAAATTCTTCAAAAAGCTGCTTACCTTTAAAAGTGTAAAAAGATCGCAAAGTTGGAGATAAATGAGATCAACTAATAACTGAGAGAAATGTTCATAATTCAATTCAATTCAAAAATACTTTATTAATCCCAGAGGGAAATTGATTGCTGTAGTAGCTTAGAATAATAATAATAATCAAGTTGTAAAAGAGTTGTTGTATATTACAATGGCTGTTGGCAGGAAGGATCTCCAGTAGCGGTCAGTGTTGCAGCCAAACTGAAGAAGCCTCTGACTGAAGACACTCTTCCGTTGTCGGACAGTCTTGTGAAGAGAATGCTCAGGGTTGTCCATCATTTTCTTGACTCTCTAGAGAATCCTTCTTTGCATTATCTCCTCCAGTGGTTCCACAGTTGTCCCAGAACAGAACCACCCTTCTTTATTAGGCTGTTGAGCCTTTTCAGGTCCCTGCTTCTGATGCTGCTACCCCAACAGACGATGGCTGAAGAGATTACACTCTCAACAACAGACTTGTAGAAGATCTGCAACATCTTGCTACAGACATTGAAGGACCTAAACGTCCTCAAATAAGTGCAGTCTGCTGTGTCCCTTCTTGTGAACGGCTTCGCTGTTCTTTCTCCAGTCCAGTCTGTTGTCCAGGTGAAGTCCAAGGTATTTGTATTCCTCAACCACCTCCACTTCTTCTCCCATGATGGAAACAGTGTTTGACTCAACCCTGTTTCTTCTGAAGTCTAAAATCATCTCCTTTGTCCTGTTCACGTTCAAGGTCAGATGATTGTTTCCACACCATGCCACAAAGCGCTAAAGGTGCCAAAAAGGACATTTAAAAATGTTGTTGCTGTGAAAAACTTCAGAAGTAGTTGTGGATCCTGTGTTTGGTGATGTTTATCAAATGTGCTGTAAAACGTTCTGTATTACTGGAAGTGGAGTCGGAAAAAAAACATTTTCATGTTTTATTGTGTACTGCTTTTTAAAACAAGCCTGGTGAATTTTGGCAACTGATCAAAATAAATGCCATTTGTTTGAGCCAAGTCGTGTTTGTAAAACAAAGAAGAAACATGATGATCTCAGGGATGTGCATGCATGAATAATGGTGCAACGTCACTAGTTAAAAAGACAAAAATGTTACGTGGTTAATTTCTTAAATTTTATGTAACAAAGTCCATTTTTTGCTCTAAAAATCTAAGGAGGTGCTGAAACTTTAATGTGTCAACACACCATCAACCCACAGCATGAAGACGTTGGAGGCTTAGAACTGCAGTTTAGTGAATCCTAACACTAAAAATCATTTCCAATTGAACAAGCCATTCAAATGTGAGGCTCTGCAACCTTTCATTTGACCTTAAGATTGTCCTGACCTCCTTCCCACAAGTGGTTTTGCATCTGGTCGTTACCTAACAATGCAGCTACCTCATAAGGAGTGTGGCTGTTCCTGCGTTACTGTCTGATGGATTCATTTAAATGCCTCCCAGCACTTCATCCACTTTATATGTACCGGTACTCCACTTCTATCAGACGTCTCCTGGTGGGAATTGGATCCAGGTCATGCAGCCCTTACTGATATTTATAAACCCACCACACATTTTTTGAAGTGCACTCAGTGCAATGATATGCAAATGGGATTATATTGTTTAGATTTTATAAATATATTATTAGTGTAAAAGTAATTTGAAATAAGTGTCTGACATGCATCTGCGATGCCTACAACATTTTATGTTTTATCTAATTTTAGCACAAAAAGGTGTAAACATTAAAGAAGTCACGTTTTTCTATTTAGTTTTAATCTTCAAAAACCTTGAAGTGTGGACTTTTCTTCTCTATCCAGCCATCCATTTTCAATACTCGCTTATCCATACAGGACCGTAGACAGCTGGTGCCTATCTCCAGGAGTCTTTTCTTCTTTTTAGCAGAATGCAACTATTATTTAAATATTAAAAGATAAAAAAACAGTACTTCATAGCTTTTTATTGACATCTGTAGTGTAGCTTCAAGAAACAATCAAGGCAACCATTTATTCTACACGTGTAGGCAACAGAAACTCAGTTCTGCTAAACAAATGTTGTGCATGCACTCCCAGAAAGGGAGAAGAAAACGTTACAATATAGACCAAAAGCCTTCACAAAATAGATTTTGAAGACATTTGCCATCCTACGACATCTGCAGGAAGCAGCAATATCATTTCTAAATCTTCTGAAATCAAGAACAAAGCGTGAAGATCAAAAAAAAAAATTGTGTCAAAATATTTTCACAGGGAAATAGAAGTCAGAATAAGAAAACAACATGTTCCAAAGAAATGGAATGAAAGATATTCATCCTAATAATAATAATACACTGCACAGCAATCATTCAATGACAAGACATACATATTTCCAGAGAAAATATGAAAAAATACTCAGAATATTACTGATGATCATGCGACAATGTTGAAAACACTATGGATTAAACATGCAACATAAAGACCCCACAGCTTCTGACAGTCCTACTATGTTTGATCACTTTCTGAAATTATTTATGGAAGCAGTGACCTATTTAAACCAGAGCTGATATTAACACCTGGAACAAGGCACCAATACAACCAAACAAGCTAAAAACAAGGCTCTATGTTTCCTCGTAGAACGTAGCTGATTAAGTGGTGCAGGTGAGGTAACGGTTTCACCAAAAATGCTGAGTTTAGCCGCTCAGAGAGGAGAAAAGCCAAGTTAAAACACTGTGTGACAACGTTAGGAGAGAAAATGGGATGCTCCACATGACTGGTTTGAACAGCTAATCTCAACTAACTCGCTGTTGCTACACAATGACATCATCAGATCCATTCAGAACAGGTTGCTGCTATTGTACACGCTTACACGCAGCTAATAAATAAGTTAGACAGTCGAGCCCGCTTACGGACTTGGTTTCATGTAGAAACAAAAACCAACCCAGAAAACATTTTTCATATGAGACATCACAATCACCTAAATGAAAGCTGTGCAAAAACCAACAAAGACATCAAAGATTTTACTTGTGCAACATTTTAGTTTTTCTAAATTTTTACAACCGTATCTCAACTCTTGAAAGGCTTTGAAAACCAAAAACGACTTTCACTGGTCATATAAGCTTTGATGGTTGCAGTTCAGCGTCTTTAAACGGACACAGCGACACTGAAGAGGCAGCCGATCAGATGCTTGTGTTGTGCCATTGACCTAAAAAGGCCTCCGTGCCCATTTTACATGTAAACAAACTTTACAATACTGCATATTGTACAGCTGAGATGTAATAAATTCAGAAAGGTTTTCTGCCTAGACACACTTGGACGGACCAAGCAGCACAAACTACCCACAGTGGTCCTATGCTCAAATATACACATGGCATTTCTGACAAGATACATATAACGTGACTTTGTGTGCAAATAAATATGTAAACTGTCACAGGAGCTAATGAACCATGCCCATGGAGCTCATAAAGTGCAGCAAAGCTGTCAGGATCAACACCTGGAAAAGCTGTGGACACGGACGTCCCACTGGAATGGTCAACCCTACTTCAGGAAGAGTTTCAGCTGTCGGGTTTGTCGGGGTGATGAAAGAGAGCACAAAGCTCCTCACAGGTCTGAGTCTCCACAGAGCTAAAGTGTGACTCCATATTCCACGCCAGGTCTGCTGACAGGAAGTCGTTCATAACGGTCTGGGTTTCATTGCTGGTCAGAAAGAGTTGCCCCAGGCCTTCTGCTTGGCTGGTCACAGTCTGGGTTTCTGTGCTGTTCAACAACCTCACTGCCTCACCTTGACCTCTATTAGAAAGTGAGGATGGAGCTGTAGTAAAGGAAGGGAGATCCGTCTGTGTTTCGGTATCTGACGACTCGGTGCTGATTGAAAAGGTTGAATGTCGAAGGATACTGCTTAGGGGCATGTTGCTGCCAGCATTCAGCAGGAAATTGAGATCAGTCTGAGTCTGGGTGTCAAACAGCTCAAGGTCACTGGCTTGGGGTCGACTTTGTCCCTCATTTTGGTCCAGCTCATCCATAAGGAGGAAATCTGTCTGCGTCTGAATGTCCAGCGACTCCAGCGGAGTGTCACCACCTAGCACACCAAGTTCACTCTCCTCCGTTTGTGTCTGAATGTGAACGGTGTTGAGGAACTCCTCAAAGTCAAAGTCAATTCCATTGTGCTGCTCCTGAACAGAGCCAGGACCGGACCCACAACCAGCAGAAACCTCCGCGAGAACCTGGTGACCCGACATGCCGCCAGCCAGAATGTTCTCAAGGTCATTTAACAGCGTTATCGTTTGGGTCTGGTTATCGGCCATGTTGTTAGCACCCAGCTCATGTGTCTGCACCCCAAAACACATACCCGCCACCGACTTTGAGTCTTCATACAGATTTCTTCCTGCAGCACTAGGGCTGTTAATAATGTCCTGGGCTGTTTGTGTTGAAGTGCTTAGAGACTCATTAACAAATAGATCTGAACACATAACAGCCTGGTCAGGAGCCTTATCCTCCAACTGTGGCAGAGCAACGATCGTCTGCGTCTGTCTGGTTTGAAACGGGAGCACAGAAGAGGAGAGGGGCGTGATTTGGCTCAGGCCCTGGCTCTCTGTCTGAGCTCCAACAGATGATGTGGATTTGGCTCGGGAAAAGAATGTCTGGGTCTCCACACTGACTGGCAGGAGGACTTGGGCACTCACACTGATGTCTGTTTGGGAGCAGGATGAAACTGAGGCCTCGCCCATGGAACACAACCCTGCTCCCTCCCCAACTCCCATCCCGATGGGCAGCTTTGACAAATAGGATTTATCAGTCTGGATGTTGGTAGAGGTGCTCCTTCCTCGCTGCCCCGTCACACTGCTGGCTGAGTCATCTAAACCAACAGGGTCCAGATTGACCTGCACCCCTGTGCTGATGCCATCCAGGGTAGAACGGGAAGTTGACTTGCTGTTCTCGAAAACCAAGCCTTTCCCATCCAGCTGGGGAACCAGTGCTCCCATTGTCTGTGGAAGGAGCTGGAATGTACTGAAAGAGCCATGGTTGTCTACTGCAAGAACCACCGACCTCAGAGTCCCACTTTCTGTAGATGGAAGAAGAACAGGCAGATGGGCCAGCTGCATGACAGGAACACTGACCAAGGCAATTTTGGGTTTTGGTAGGAGCAACTTCTGAAGGCTCCTATGGGGGCTGGAAATCTGGTTAGCTGGATCTAGGATGTTTGCAGCCAAATCAAGAGGTGGAGAAGTTTCTGTCAACTCCTTAGTAGAAGGCATGATCTGCACAGCTGAGTCATTAACTCGGACTTTTTCAGAACCACCTGTATGCTTTTCCATCTTTCGCTTTTTGACTGGAGGAAGTCTGTAAAGAAAAAGACCAACAAGTTAATTCTACAGATCATAATAAAGAAAATGCAAGATTTCAATGAAGCATTTGGTCTACGTGCCTGTATTCTTTTGGGATTTCGTGACCTGTTCTGTAGTTATGTGACAGCAGTGCAGCTCTGCTTGCATAGGGGCAGCCACAAGTGCACTGGTAAGTCTTCCCACAGTCCTCTATGTGCCTCTTCAGGTCCCACTCTGTGCTGTAGCCATTGCTGCATTTAGAGCACTTGTGCTTTTTCTCTGCATGCATCTTCATGTAGTGCTACAACGATGCAAAGTAAAAGGCCATGGAAATAAAACCCAACAAGTACAGAGAAGAGCAAAAACGATAACGGTGATATGATGGAAAACCTTGGGTCAGAATGTTAATGCAGGGCCCTCCCACCTACGTACTGTCGCTGAGAAAATGCTCCCTCTTGGTAACAGCGCTGCCTGATGGCATCAACCCTTCCTGGTTACTCTAAAAGGTGTAAAACCCACCTAGTTCTGAAAGAACCAACCTGCAACCCAGAGGACCTGCTGCAAGCATCGTCTCCTCAATCAGAAATGCTTTAGCAGCATGAGGACAAGCTACCGCTATCCATGTGTTTAATTAGCTCTAATCTGCAATTTAGAAGTCAAACCTTTAACATAAAATACATAACTGAAAAGTAAAGTAACTAGACACTTTTTTGCAATCCAAACACATCAAAGGAAGCTAATGTGTGTGAGGAGTTAAAAGTCTTGTAAGAAGTAAAAACAGATGCGTGAATCATTGCTTACTTGTTTAACCAGAGAGAACTGGGAGAAAGGTCTGTTGAGCCCCCTTGGACAGCCCTCAATAGGACAGCAGTAAAGTTTCTGAGTGCCCTTCATTTCCTTTCTGACTGTGGGATTGACCATCCCATCCTGATGGTATCCATGGCAGCATGAATAAAAAAAGACAAGAAGACATGTTAAATGTTAAGATACTGAAGCCAGTATCTCACAGGGCTGTCATTGATCGGGATTAGCTGAGACATAAAACTGCAAGAAGAAACTCAAATTATCCCTTAAACTCAAACCAAATTCATGCTTATGGAGTTTTTGCAGCAAGTTTTACACACGCCAGAGTTGTGTGGCAGACCCTAACCCTCATTAAATAATGAGTACAAAAAAAGACAAAAGTAAATCTAAATTAGTCACAATATGTCTTTATTGAATCTCACAATTTGTTTGAATAAAGAGCCTAATTTTTCTTGCATTTTGGTTACCAACCCTTCCTCAAGCTGTCTCACATTCATTAACATTAGCTGCCCTGTGAACTAGTATGAATATAGTCTCTTACAACACAAACATATTTATTACAGTAACAGCTGGAAGGTCCTTATAATGCGTCATTCATTAAATACACATCCCATTGTATTTTTATTAGGGGTGAGAATTCAACACTTTAATTTTGATTATTTAATTAGAAAAACATAACACATTAAGAAATATTAATGCATTTAATTACAGCTTGAATTTCAAGCAAGGTGGAACCTTTGTCAGTGCATGATTTTCTGGTATACCGATTACACTGACGCACAAAACAAAGCCCTGCTTGACCAATGGCTCCTAAAATAGAAGAATCTGAAGAAAGCATTCTGCTTGGGCTGATGCAGTGTTTGAGAAAGCACATCAGCCTCTTCTCTTAATTAGTAAAAATAAAAATAAAAAACTTCATGAAAACCACAGTCTGTGACACGGACACTTTAATAAAATAAAATAAAATTAAATTAAATAAAATAGGACTGGGACAATAACAAATTTTGCTAAATGGTTTATTGTCCAACAAGTTGACGATTAACGATATTGTGGACATTATACCATAATTAGACCAAAATAACCACTTATGTAATGTTAATATATCATAATAATGCAACAAACCTTTATTTAATATTGGAATGTCCAGAACCAGAACTACTAAATAAAATAATAATAATAATAAAATAAAAAAAAGACGGTCACTATTTGTTAGAAACTATTGCACCAAAAACAATAAAATAGACCCCATGTCTCCAAAATTAATTAATTAACGCCCATCCAGAAATTAAAACCTGGCGCAGCACCTGTGTTAGTAAAGTAATGTCTTTGGATGGCTACTTTTTACTTTCATGTAATTATAAATATGTTGAAGTAGTACTACGTTTACTCAAGTGATATATTTTTGGCAGTAATGAAACGTCTGAGCTCCGTTTGTTTCCTTTGAGGTCGTAGAGATGTACGTTATTGATTGTAGACAATTTCTGAAAATACAGATCTCTAGCCTCCTGCACAATTTTATTCCTGTAAGGGATGCTTCCTTGTTCTTTTAATCCATCCTTTTGACTCTTGTTCTGCTTCAGCTTCAGCTGCGACTTTCCCCAACAACGCGAGTCATACACCTAAAGTTGCGCTAAGGGGGTGTGGTTGACATGCAGGCCACGTGTCTGACAAAGACCGATATGTCAATGTTGGAAATATTATTGAGCTCATTTTCATCTATCGTACGATTAATTGATTGTCGTCAGCCCTAAACACAAGTCAACAGGACTTATTTTAGAAAACCACAGCTCCCCTGAATGCATTGCACGACAACAGAGTGAACATACATGTTCATGTAAACACCCGTAGGAGTGTAACAGACGCTGTCTGTTTTGTGGCCACTAGGTGCCCTCAGCGTCCCTACCTGCTCTCCTGGCTCTAGCTGAGCCAGGTGACTTTGATTTCAATCAGTGAGGCTCCCCGTTAAAAGGGTGCGTCTGATGATACAGGGTGGGTGGGGGGGGGGGGCTTCAGAAGAGAACAAGCAGCAGTGTTTGCTCTCCTCTTTCCCTCCTTGAACTGACGTTAAAGTCTCGCTTTGCTTACCTGAGTGGTATCGGTAAATACTTCCTAGTTTCTAGAGCTCGTTTGTGTTTCTTCAGCATCCTCGTTAAAGAGAGATCTGGCTCACCCTTTTGGTGGAGCTTTTTGTGTTAATCCTGCTCATTCCTTACCCGGTTTTTAATCCCCGGCGCTTTGTGTTTAATATTATTGTAGTTAATTCCCCAGTTTTGGGTGTCTCCTGTTTTGTACCATTTTACCTGCATAAAGCAGTGACTTTTAGTTAAATAAACTCCTTTAAGAGAGTAAATCCTGGTTTGTTCCTGTTTACAACCGCATTTCTTTACGCTCCCTAACCACATCATCTCTTAGACGAGCTGAGGGACGTAAAAAAAGGAGTGTGTGAAAAGGTTAGTAACCATCTATAAAACATATGTTGATGTAGATCGCCTCATCTATGCCATCATGCATTTGCAGGCTGAGTACTTCATGACAGGTCATTATTTGTCATCAACAAGTAGCTGAGAGGGGAAGCTTAGATTCATTGTCCTTGTTAGAGAAGAGCCCCTCCACAGCTGCTGACAGCACTACTTCTCTCTTGAGAAATGGACTGATGCAGCGATAAGTGAATGAGTGATGGGTCTCTATACCCCGCAGCTTCTTGCTGGTGAAGTGTGTAGACACAAAGACTAAGCTAAGAGAGACAGCGAAAACAGACCAGCGGTTTGCATAAACTGAAATTAAATATGTCGATTCAAGAGAAATGGCTACATGATGAAAAAAATAATCCAAAATAACACTTTAACCTGCTGGTGTGCAGAGAAGCAGTAAAACTCTGATAGCATTAAAACATCAAATAACAGATGGAGTGTTCAGACTTACAGCAATTCCACGAATAATTCAAAACATAGACTGACAACTTTTAGGAATTAAAAACTTTATCACGAGAATCTCATTAGCACACAGCTAACTGTCATTCCACCAACCAAAGGATTCAGTGATTGAATCATCTGGATGTTTTAACTCAAATAATATCCTTGCAGCTCGCTGTATTTACTTTAAGACATAGTCTGCAATATATAGATTATATAGATTATATATAAAAAAATCTAGATTAATTTATTTGGGTAACAGAAGTGATTAAGACTCATTTAAACACAAAGCTTGATTGAGCTTGGTTGAAAGCACAGCATTAATGTTATTTTGCTTTAAATAAAACAAGTTTATGGGGTCTGTAAACAATCCTCTCTTTCCCACATTGACAAAGAGAGCTAATTCAAATTCTCACTTTCACCTATCTCAAACAAAGAGCTTAGTCTGCTGCAGGACAGAAGACGGACTTTGCCAGCAGAGAACTTCATTCATGGAATGGGAACAGTGAATTACAGCCTCCCACAGAAAAGGCCAGTCCACTGAGGTCTGAGGTAGACTCTGGGTCAAAAGCTTGACTTGCCTTTGCTGTAACTAAGAGATTTCTTTTCACGTTCTTCATTACTAGTATTTATACATTTCAAAAGTACCATTGTTGTATTTCTGAGATTTGGACTTGGTGTTCAGTGGTTATGCTTCCTTCTGTTCCTTTATTTAGATATGAAGACGTATTTTTAGACATACTTTTGTTTCATTTGGCTTTTTTGTACCTTGAAGTGCCACAACTTCGTTAGCCTGGCCTGCCAGACTCATCCATTGTTTAATTCTACACAGAGAACTAGTACTTCCCATAAGGGAGCATGGGGCTGGCTGGCCAGGCTACAATTTTGTTGCTGTCAACTATGCAATGGCAGTAAAGGCTTTGAGCTTTGAACTATTTAACCAATGAAATTTAAATTGTAATGCTACATTTTTGCTCTTTAGTAGTATAAGCGCTGGTAATCAGTTATTTGACATATTCTTTTAATTAAAGTAGCTTTCTGGAGTTTTCCCCTTTCAGAAATTATGTATGACTTTTAAAAAAAAAGTGGTTGTCTTATCATGTACTGTGATATGATGTAAGCAATACGTTTTTTTTTTTTGCTAAGCACGCCCCCTGCCCTGCAGAACTCCGCGCAATAAGAGGATCTTTGTTGACATCTGCTTTCATCTTTGACTGCATGCGCGAGTGACAGGGTGGCAAAAATATGCTGCAATTAATACGCCACGTACACTTTTAAGAGAGTTTATGGACAACATCCCTGATATATAAACACTTCAATGTCCTAAGTCAGGGCCTGTTCCTGTGCAGCCATGATGAGTGCCTCAGTGCTATCCTTCAGACCAGCTCTTTCTAGCCATTGGTAGGATTTCTTGACATCAGCCACTTCAGTTATCTGTCTGTGATACATCCCATGGAGGGGTTTGTCCTCCCCTGATGGTATTTACATAATCTCCTCCTGTTTGTCATTGTCCGAGACATTCACTGAACACGTCATCTTTTGGGGCCTCGTCCTTGATGTACTTATGGATCTTGGATGTTTCATCCTGGACAGTGGCTCTCACACTCACTCGTGGTCAGCCTCCTACCTTATGGCTAGTGTACAGTCTCAGGATGCTGGATTTGGGATATGGAACCCTCCATACATGGCAAGAAGCTTCAGTCTTACATCTGGGGTCTCTATTTCTTCCTTTGGCCAGCTTAGTATTCCTGCAGGATATCTTATTACTTATAGGCTGTAGCATATATATTAGGGTTGTCACGGTAACCGGTGTAGCGGTAAACCCCGGTATAAAAGTTGACAATAATAATAACCGTCTTGTTTTAAAAAAATATATTATCTTGGTGGGTTTACCGTGGCTGCGGTGTAGGCGCCGTGACCCTTACCAGACACCGTGTCATCTGCTGAAGTTGCCGGCGGCACATGCGCACTTTTTTGTTTATAACCAAAACTTTCTTGAAGCTAAAGCTGAAATAATGGCCAAAGGAGGAGACGGCAGTGCGTAGGACATTTATTATCCCTCAAAGAAGACAAAGTGGGAAGTATGTGCATTTTTTGGATATTTGAAGAGTGCCGAGGGACAGTTGATAGAAGACGGCTATCCTGTTTGCAGCACGTGCAGAAAAAGTGTCTGTGAAAGGCAGCAACGCTTCAAATTCAATTCAATTCAATTCAAGTTCATTTATATAGCGCCAAATCACGACAAGAGGCGTCTCAAGGCACTTCACATAATAAACATTCCAATTCACAGTTCATTAAGCCAATCAGAAATAATGTTTCCTATATAAGGAACCCAGCAAATTGCATCAAGTCACTGGTGAGTGTCAGTGACTATACAGCAATCCTCATACTAAGCAAGCATGCAGCGACAGTGGAGAGGAAAACTCCCTTTTAACAGGAAGAAACCTCCAGAGAATCCTGGCTCAGTATAAGCAGCCGTCCTCCACGACTCATTGGAGATCGAGAAGACAGAGCAGACTGACACACACACACACACACACACACACACACACACACACACACACACACACACACACACACACACACACACACAAGTAATGTGTCTATAGTTATATTGTGATGTCTTAGTAAATATTGTATTTGGTGAAAGATAAACTTTATTGTATTTATCCTAGTGGATCTACAATTAAACGGATAAACTAGTAGTAGCACATCAAAAAGTCAATGAAAACAAAAAGTTATTATCAGGAGAGAAAGAATGTATTAGTGGTTAGCAGCAGTGTGCTAAATCTCATGACACATCTGCGTGACCATCACCCACAACTCTACAGTCAACGCAAGGCAAGTTAACATTCGCGTTTTAGCTAAAATGCGTGATCCGAGGATTTGGGTTGAGGGAGAATGCAACGAGTCGCTATATAAAGCAGCCGCAGCGCCGCTACCTGCATATAAACTGTGTCACGAACACCCCCATATTGAAATGACGCAATGCATTACGGAGCTCCCAGGGGCAGATAAGAGTTGGTCTCTCCGAGAATAATTATGAATTTAACAATGATTACTGCCTGATGACATTTTCCCAAATCTGCAAAGCTCACTGGAAGGAAACCGAGGATGATATTTTCCTGATATAGGGATTATTTAGTTGTCTGAAAATGTAACAAGTTTATAAAAATACTGCGATAATACCGAAAACCGTGACAATTTTGGTCACAATAACTGTGAGGTTAAATTTCACACTGTGACAACAAACCCTAATATATATATATATATATATATATATATATATATATATATAAATTGAAATATAAATCAGATAAGTTGACCTGGCATTAACCAGCACAGCTACAGGTTAAGTGACTTTGTGAGCTGCAGCATGTTTTCGACTAAATGATTTTGGATTAACTGATAACTGATCATTTTTATTAGCTAAAAGATTTTTGATGTGGTGGCAATGAAATTTCAGTTTTGAACATTTAGCAAATCACAGTGTTTATATTATATAATAAAGTCTCTAATAATGTCTTTCAAAGAAATGACCACACAAGCCCCCATTTAGAACAAATGTAAAAAAAAAAGGATGTTTGTATCGAGAGACACTTAATTGGGTCACAATAGTCACGTGACTTTTAATTAAGCTAGTTTTGCTCTAGATAAGCGTTGGGATATTAAACAGCTATTATTAAACGTTTTACACAAAATAAAGTGAACTTTTACCAAACGTTAATTTATAGATTACAACTATGACTTAAGCTGGATGACTTGCGTTTTCCACTTTTAGGGTGTTCTAGAGTTAGCGGAGTTAAGGTCGCAGTTAGCCACACACGTTAAACAACACACACATAGCTTTACTAATAATTACCTTTATTCTGTGCGATTTAACCAGATGCATGTTCAAGGCAGGTGTGTTGGGAAGAATCTTGCCACATCCTTCCACGGTGCAGAGGATGTTCGTCCTCACTTCTTTGGTCAGCTCCATGATGGTGGGCTTTATAATTTCCTGACACTGCGACCGAGACTCTCTGTGACATTTTAGGATGTCTGTCGTCGTGCTGCCCTTATTTATGTTCGCCGGAGAAGCGGCCATGTCTCTGCGTTGACAGTCCACTTTGGGTTTGGCAGAAAACCGCAGAAACAGCAGCGACAAACGACCAGGAACATTGCGTCCCTCAGCTTTGGCTGAAAGGCTTCTTTCTTCTTCTTTTAGAATAATTGGTAGTTTTAGTTCCTGTCGCCACCTGCTGGTTACTTTTGTCAACTGCAGCTTTTGTTCTGTTCCTGTTGCCAAACTTGCCTTGCTGCATACCTGAAAATTAATAAATCTTAAAATTTTATGTCCCACCCTATGCAGACGTTTGAATAGTTTTTTTTTCATTGACACTCAGAGCCTATGGGATGCATACCTATAAAAATAGCACATTGACCAGGTTCCTGTCTGCTCATAACTATTCCCACTTTCCAATGGGACCATCTATTCCTCATAGACCCTGCTTTTTTTAACATGAGAGGATACCTTCTTGTCTCCCATCCTCCTGTTGTCACTTATATTTTTAACAAAATATAAAACGGTTGAAATACCACCCAAATAAGCATTTGCCAATATAAATTTGTTCCAGCTAGAACAGAATAATTTATTCCAGGCATTAAATGTGAAAATTCTTTGTAGAAAAGCAGGCAGACATTGACTGTTTTATTCCAACATCTTGTTTTGACCGGTGCAATTCTTTTAATCATCGTGTTAGAAATGACAATAAATCCTAAATCTGAAAACGGTAAATTATCTTAATTTTGATTGAACATAGAAGCAAATGTAGGTTAAATTCTGTTTGACATTAAACACATACAACATATTCATCTATAAAACAGCACTCTCAGCTACCAGACACCACAGAAATGTATTTCATTTAATTCATTAGTCTTTGTTTCATTTAGGGAGACATTTAATAATCATGACGAAAAAAGGTGCTAGCAGGTGCCCAGGAGCATCCCTTTATCTGGAGAGATAAAATGACAAAATTCAAAATAAAATTAAAAAAAAAACAGTTTGCCCCAAAAGTTGACAAGATATTAGCAAACCATTGCCACAGTATGGTACAAGTAGCAAGTGAAACGCCAAGAGTCATTTGATGAGCACTTCTCCTCAGAGATCAATCACAGATCGGCTTGGCGTGTTTGTGAAGCGGCAGCAGGAGCGTTGTCGGTGATGACAAAGTAATTCCTTCCTTTTAAGAGAATAGACGACAGCAGGGGTGTGACAGGGGTCGAGGCAATTCCTGAAAAGTAGGAGATGATAAACCAAATTACATAGAAGAATAGAAGAAAAAAATACATATATTGCAAACAGAAAATGAATATCAGTTTCTCAGAGAAAAGGGTAGGAACACACACACACACACACACACCACAAAAACATAACTGTTTTATGTCTCCTTTCAAAGAAATAAAAGATAAACTGTTCATGACTGTAGTTAGAGGGCTGCACTGAGGCGCAGTGTCTTGTGCTGTTGCCTTGCAGCAAGAAGGTCCTGGGTTCAAATCCCAGCATGTGGTCTTTCTGCATGGAGTTTGCATGTTCTCCATGTGCATTTGTGGGTTCCCTCAGGGTACTCCCTCCCACAGTCCAAAAACATGAAGTTGATTGTTTTCTCTTAATTGTCCATGTGTGTGTGTGTGTGTGTGTGTTTGCCCTGTGATGGACAGGCAACCTGTCCAGGGTGTACCCCGCCTGTTTGCCCAGAGACTGCTGGAGATAGGCACCAGCCCCCAACGACCCTGTGCGGACAAGCGGGTGTAGAAGATGGATGGACTGTATTTGCAATAGCGAGCAGGCAGGTAATTATGGAACTGCCTTTAGTAAAAAGAATTCTGACCATATAAAGAAAGAGTTGTGATTTAGAAAATCCCTCCTAGTATACATATATAGTTTGTTAACAGCGGTGCATTATTAACCGGAGTACCTGCAGAAGCACAGTGTCTGAATGACTCCAAGATGTTGCTGCTTGAATATTTAACAACACATCTGAAGGGCTCGTCCCGCTCTGTCATGGTCCTGTTGCTAGGGTCTCTGTATTTTGTTTCCAGCTGAAGAAAGTAATGAATGAAATTCAGAAGACAACAAAAAAAGAATGTTTACTTCCTGTTGCGTTTTAAATACAGCAACGTTAACTCTGGTTTACTGGTGTACCTTATAAACTGCAGACTGTAGCTGAGGTACCGCCCCTTTGCCAAAGGCTTCACTGGCCATCCGACGTCTGCTTGCCCTTGCCTCAGCTTGTTCGTTCACAACTAAATCAAAGACAGAGTCATAATGCAGACCTGAACCAAACTCTTGGGAGATGGAATCACTTGCTGAACATACTTGGGCCAGGTTGGTTTTCCTTAGCAAGGGGGCTGGCATCGTTTGTAGGAAATGACTAAAGAGCAGACAAAAACACAAAACAAAATTTGTACGTCCAAATCAAGTCTTCTCATTTGACAGAAAAATGACTCTCATGTCCTCTTTCATCCAACTTTAAAAGGCTCTAAGCCTACTTGTTGATATTGCTTCATCAGCAGATCCCTGATGGCCATCAGCTTTGGTCCACTTAGGTTAGCATCCTTAATAGCTTGATGTCTAGTGGAGAGTGTCAAGGACTGCAACAAACACCACAATCTTATGAAGATGGAGGAAAAAAAAAGCCCGACAATTGCACTAAACATGAACTATTATTTAAACCAGAGCCACTCCTCACCTGCATCAGCAGAGGCTTTAGCTTTGAAGTCAGATTCCTCACAAAAACATAAGGAGACTGAAGATAGTGAACCACATATGTTGGTTTCAGGTGGTTGGGTCGAGAGAAGCCACTTCCCCAAGCGATCCGAATCCAAACAGCTTCGTCGGTGTGCTTCTTTATCTTTATGGACACCTGTAGAGCAAAATAAACCAAAGTTTTCAACATTACATTTAAATGTGCAGCCCCATCAACAAAAGGAACGCCAGGCGTACGTTTCTCATGAGCTCACGGAGGTGAGTTTTAAATTGCTCCTTGAACAGCATCAGCTCCACAGAATGAGCGTCATCTAGGAATAATAAACACACACAGGTTAACGCTCACTCCACTTCGTTTAACTGGTTAATCAAAATCTAACATCTACTGGGATTTGTAATCGCATGATGATTAGAATCAGGGAGAAAAACAAAACAACAAAAAAAACAATGAAAATATTAAATAATTGGAGTTTATTCATATCAATACAAAAGGAAATAAATAACTGGCTTTAAATTAGGGATGTCCGGATACAACTTTTTTCACTTATGATACCGACGTCGGTAGCCTTCAGTATTGACCGATACCGATATCAGTCCGATATCTCAGCACAGATCATACATACTTTTACCTATTCCATAGTTTGGAATGTATAAAAGGCTTGATCAAGTGATATTAGTCAAACAGAAAACAAAAGCCAGCAACAGTAAGTATAAAAACTGCCCCATTTTTCATTAACCTTTGGTTGCATAAATGTTAACAGCTCAGGTTAGGGACAAAAGGAAAAAAACACATTATTGTTCACTGAACAACTGCTACAAGTTGAGTGTCTGAAGTATCAATTTCACACACTGTGAAAATCCTCATGCAACGTTTTGTGATCCTGTTTCAAATGCACAATGAGGTTGGATGCATTGATCTTCCCCGGTTTTGTTCCACCACAGGAAACTTGTGCATGATAAGTGTTGCACTGAACCAAAATGTCTTTGTCGGACTTTAACAAAAAATACAGCCACATGGCCGACATTGTTCCTTGCTGCTTCGCTAGCACACACTGTTCTGGTCACGTGGACTTAGCATGCTGGATCTGGGCGCCACTGGACAGAATTGCTGGAATGGGACTTAAAGCAGAACGTGCTGCTAATATTGGAGATTTTTGATGTAGTCCGATATAATCCGATAGTGTTTTTGGGCCGATATCCGATATCAGAAAGGGACATCCCTACTTTAAATAGAAAAAAGTAATGTTCTACATTACTGTATAAAAACAGACAAGGATTTACATTTGTTTGAGTGAAAAGATGAATATTTTTATTTTGACATACCTTCAGGGTCCAAGAGCTGGAATGAGTACCACGTTCCCTGGTTTGGGTTCTCAATAACATCTAAATCAATGAAACCAAAGTAAAATGAGATGGGTTTATTTGTATATATGACGCGACTTCACCACAGTACTCATTTTTTGTCTTTTTTAAACATTCTACTCTTATGTTAGATACTTTACTACAGCACACTCATTCTCCTCCTCAGGTTCCATCTGGTACCATTATGTATGCAAATAAAACGTGTACATGACTGTATTTTTGTGTTTATTTTATCCTGCTTGTAATATGTTTCTGTGCAGAAAATGCCTTGAAATAGCTCCTGGTGTGTTTATGAACTCAAGTGTGAAATTAGCTGGTGATATGACTGAGTGAAGGGCTTTCTCATGATTTTGCTATTTATTTACTATCTATAAAAATGCATTACAAACAAACATAGATGGCTTACGCATCATCTCAAGTTCTGTGATGTGTTTCATTGTCAGCCCGTTTTCCTGTGAAGAAAACATCCCAGATTAAACATCCATAGCAACAATAATTTGGCACTGATGTTCCTCTTATATGAGCTTAAAGCAGCATCTCATTTTTGTTGGGACTGACAGGAGATTCATGCTCCACTCACTTCATGCAATAGTTTTATTTATTAACATATATAATAATATAGGTATAATAATAAATAAAATACAAACCTCACAAATAGTGACTAACGTTTGGGTTATGACCCATTTCGGCAGGGTGAAATCCACAGACTGCCGCTGATGTGGGGTCAGCCGGTCCCACTTTTCCAGTGTAGCTTTTAGCATCCGAGTCGGTGTACGTCGAACGAGTTGCTGTAGAAAACATTTCGTTGACTTCTCCATATTCTCTTCAAATGTAAACAAACGTATACGATTTATTATTGAATTGTCTTCAAGTTTAACACGGACCACGAACGACTTGTGTTAGCAGGGGAACGAAAGGAGCAAAACAAGCTAGCAGTGAAAATCCAAACAACCCGCTTGTGCGTGACACAGCATGAATCAACCAATCAGATACCGAGAACAAGCCTACGAGTCTTCCAACTTCGCCCTCTGCTGTGTAGGAGTGGTATTACATGACAATGCCACAAAGTTAATTGTCAACTACTTTTTTATTTACTCTGACGCCCCCCCCCCCCCCCCCCCCAGGCACTTGCTCAAAACATCGTGGTTTATTTACCATCATACTAAGTATAGTTTACTTACTCTACCTAAACTGTACATATCATTAAATCTAATGAACTCATTTGAATATATGTATGTTAGTTGTTTTCTTGTGATTGATGAAAGTAATATTGATGGTTTATTTATTTATTTATTTTTGGATTTCTCGAACATTTACAAGATTTCTAAAGCTTCAGCGTGAATAAGAATAATTTGAAAAACGTGTTTGTTCTATATTCATTTGTTATTTGTAAACTGTAAGTAATGTTCTTGATTATATTGTGTCATTTAAACCACAACAATCAGCATGCTATTTATTTATTTAGTTGCTTGAACAGAACAAATTAAACCAGCTGTTATATGATCAAGCATGTACTCTGTCTTTGAATTTTTATCTATTTTTTAATTTACAATTTCTGGGGTCTTTTTTAACCTACATTTTCACATATTAAAGCAAAGCTAGAAACAATTGGCTCTTCCCCAATAACAAAAGTGATGAGTCTCGCGCAGCGAGCCTCCTCATGTTGGTTCTGTTTTTATTGATTAATTAATACACATTTGCACTACTGGATATTATATACATTGTAGGTGGTGAACCAAAAAGAAATGATATGGTTCCACTAGTATCAATAAACCCAACCCAATAAACCAACCCATCGCCATCAACGGCGTCATGGTCGAAAGGGTCAGCAGCTTCAAGTTTCTTGGAGTCAACATCACTGAGGACTTCTCCTGGACCCTCCACACCTCAGGAAAGCTCGCCAGCGGCTTTACTTCCTGAGGAGGCTAAGGAAGTTTGGCATGAACACTAGTATCATCTCAAAATTCTACAGGTGTGCTATTGAGAGTTTGCTGTCGAGCTGCATCACAGTTTGGTATGGAAGCTGCTCTGCCAGCAGCCGCAAATCTCTACAGAGGGTGGTGAAAGCAGCAGAGAACATCACTGGCACAAGGCTTCCTGCCATTCAGGACATTTATCTCCAGCGATGCCTCCGGAAAGCACACAGCATCATCAAGGACCACAGCCACCCAGCGTATCAGCTGTTCTCCTCGTTACCATCTGGCAGGCCTTACAGGAGTCTGCCTGCTCGGACTACGAGACTTAAAAACAGTTTCTACCACCAAGCCATACGACACCTCAACCATTACACTTAAACACACACTTAAACACACACAACACAGGATACAGATGTTACCCTGCAGCTCCACTAGTAAAATTTAATCTGCACTGGTTACTTCATTTCAATGTTACTACTCACTTTTTTAAAGATATATTTATATTTAGTCATCTATACTTACTTGTCTATTTAGTAAGCTTTTACTTTTAGCATGACTCTCTAATATTTTGCTTTTACTGTATTATACCTTCTTCTTTTTTCTATTGTATTATGCTGCTGAGAGACTGCTGCTTCTCAAACACATTTCATTGCAATGTTGACCCTGTGCTAACTTGCATATGACAAATAAAATTAAACTAAACTAAACAAAGATTAGAGACAAGAGAATTGGAGTGTAGTTCCATTTTATACCCACTGGACGGCGCCAATTTCCCTCCTCGTTCAGTTCACATTAAGACATTTAAACTCTGTTGTAGCACTTTACTAGCTGGGTGTAGCATTCTGATTCGTGTTACATAAATACAATTTTAACCTAAATTATACGGGGAAAAGGCGATCTCTCTGTTGCTCGCACCAAAAATGCCATAGCTTTTATTTAGAAAAACATTAACGAGAGGTGTTTCTACTAAGTTACTGTATAACTGTGGTTACCTCTACTCTCCTTCTCCTCACACGCAAAGGGGGTGCATCATTTTTTTCCTGCTTCGTTGGGATAAGGAGGCAGATATGTTCGCCAAGTTTAGCAGAACTAAAGTGTAGTTCTAACTTGTCGCCACTGGAGGGGATCAATATCCCTCCTCATTCACAAAAAGTAAATTGAAAACTTGAGTTTGTAGCGCTGAAAGCTAGCTGGGTATAGCACTTTGAATAAACACGCGTACAGTAAATATAGCTAGTGCGTACCGTAACTGTAAATTTGAATAAAAATTAAACAAAAATTGAAACGAGAAACTAAACAAAAGCGGATGTTGAAAGCAGCTACCTGTCTTGTTTCTATCCTATGCTTCCGGTAAGTTAAGCGCCGCCTTTTATAAAGAAACGGATAACTATTGGTTGCCTGATTAAAAGTTGGACGCTGATTGGCTGTTAAGTTTGTCAATCAAGTGATGACGGTAATTCGGAAAAGTTATGAAAGCGGCATGTTCGGTAGCTTCTTGTCCTACAGGGTTCTGTTACTTACCGCTGGGTTTGTATTGATCTAGTAGCTAAATCAGAAAACATACCCCAGCTGGAGGGGTTATTTTAAAATAGTACAAATAGTTTAATGGTGGTTGTGCATTTGAGTGTTTACGAGATACGTCAGCTGAGAGCTAGTAGCATTTAGCTAACGTGACATTTATTCAAGGTGTGTGCAAAACCTCCAGATGACACATTCTTTTCACTGGTAAGTAACCGTCAGTAACCCTTAATTAGCGGTGTACTGTGTATAACCTGTAATTAGATACCAGGGACGATGATTCAACTCTTGTTCTAGTCTTTAAATGTCACGTTGATACAGTTGCTTTTTACTCTCCTATTTGTCAACAGGTAAGTTTCTACTGGAAAATCCATCATCACAATTACAGAACAGTAAGGAGAAGGATGGGGGTGGGTGGGGGTGGGGGTAGTTTTCTTTAGAAGACTTCTAACACACTGTACATACAATAATAGTGAACATATATTTACATTTATTAGAATTTAATCAGGATAAATGTATTAACGATTCCAGTTTGAATGTATTTAGTTGGCTCATGTGCACACTCAGTGTTCCTCTTGTTTGTGGCTTTTCAGTAAATCTGCAGTGGTTGAATAAGCCCTTAACTCGTAATGCACAACGACCTGTCTCCTCACCTGCACACAGATGAGTGCAACGAACTAATAAGTCTCCTAAAGCAGTGCCACAAGGAGGTGTGTCTCTGTACATTTGAGTTTTATGTTTGACTTGCATGAACAACAGGGAATGCATTCATCCTTCTTTTATGTCTCCATCAGCACAATTTCTTGAAGTTCTTTGGCACATGTAATGATGCAGACCGAGCAATGCGTCACTGCCTGAAGAAAGAGGTTTGCCACTTACTATTTTTGTTCTTTGCCACAAATACTTCCTATTTGTTTTATTATCTTAGACTCTTTTTGTTTGTTTGTCTTTTTTATTCATCAGAGACTGGCCAAGCGGGAACGCAGCAAACAGCATGCACAAGAAATGAAAAAGAAGCTGAAAGAAGGACCCAAAGAGCCAGTTTAAAATAATTTTAGAAAACGGTGCATCAAATAAACATGAGACTGTACACAAAAGCTCGGCTGCTGTTTCTCTGTCGCCACAAATAAGGGGTTTGTGGTTTATATCAGCATTTACAACGTGATATGTTTAGATTGGTTGATGCTAAATGACTTCTTTGTTATTTTAGTTACAGCTGCATCATCAGTTGTAGTAATACTCACAAGAGAACTGCAGAGCTGGCAAAAGGGAAATGTTTTACTGAGGATCATTTTAAAGATATTCAAATATTTGTAACGGGCTCAGGTGCAGATTTGCTTAGAAAAGAAATGATAGATTGACTTAGCAGAGCTTATTGCTCTCTTGAGTGCCCTGATTGAGATGGATAGATGAATCATCAGTGGGAGGTTACTCTTATTGTAAGATAATATACCAGCAGGGACGGATAAAGCCTATTCATATCATTATTTGCTACACATTTTCTGTTTACTTGCACTGAATAAAAGTTGCAGTGCTGGCATGACGGTGAGGACGATTAAAATTACATTCACAGATGTCTTCCAACAACTATTAGTGTTCAGATCAGTTTAGTTGTGGGCAGAACCCTTTTATCCTGTCTGGAGTATTGTGGTATCAGTCAACTCTTCATGAAAAAGGTGCACGTTTGTTTTTGTTCAACGGGCATCATTGAGCAGGATCATTAAAATATTCAGTTTTTGGGTATTTTTATTTATTTTTGCCTCTTTCTTTTTTTTGACAAAAGATGGAATTTTTATATGTAAATGAAGTAAAATTCTCTCTAAAACTTACGAAACAGCTATTTCTATAAGTTTGTTATATGTTGACCTATTCATTTTATTTAGTGTTCTATGACATTTCTGACACCAGCCTGGTGGGGGAAGATGAAATTGTTAATAGGAATAATAATAATTGTGTTTCCCAGTCCTACTCGGGTCACGCTGCTCTGGAAGGTTTAGAGGTTTAAGTGAATGAATGTGTCCACTATTTGTTATAAAGAGGAAATAAACAGATGAGAGTAATTTTGTAAATATATATTTTTCAGGTCTTATTGAGTGGAAGTAGGTGTTCTAAAAGCACAAAAATCTAAAGTGATACATTTCAGTAGCCAGGACATGCACCACTTCCCAATCTGTATTGCACTGAAACCTTACACCACATCCTGCAGGGGAGCGATCCCAAGTTCAGGCTTTGCCCAGCCAAACCTCAAAGGCAAAGAGCCAGACCAGCAAGTATTTTATACAGGTGTATAGATGTTTATGTTCCACATGCTTAGTCACGTTTATGGACAATTAGCCTAAAAAATCTGCAGGAGGCATCCTACTTCAGGTTTTTGGATCACTGGGGCACTCCAACCCCATCCAGCATGAAAAAGTAGCTCCAGCCTAAATGTGGATGCTGTGCTGGTGTGTTATGGTGCAGAGAGAGTAGAGTCCAAGGCAGGAGCAGTGGTTTCCAGTCAGTGTTGTTCAACACCAGACAAATGGACTTGTGCAAAAAAAAAAAAACCCCAAAAAAAAGAGCTAAAGTGGTAAAAATTCTTCCAGAAATGGGTTTCTGAGTTCAGTCTGACGGCTAAAAGGAAGAACAGTTTCCCGGGAGAGGCTGATGATGAGTTGCCTCGCCTCTGGATCAAAGGGAACCATTAGAGGTAGTTTAGGTTTTTGGTGAGGCTGCCTTTGTGAGTGGGTGCTACAGATATAATCTACTGGGAGGAGGCTGCAGCGCTGACTCCGGACTTGTTGGAAAGCTGATATCACCGAGCTGACCTGTAACAGACCCCCCGAAGACATCCTAAACACCTTCTCAAACCATAGACCCTGTGACCTAGTCCAGGATTGTCAGTGCAAAATGAAGCAAATCCTAATTTGAGGTGTGAAAATGCAAAGAAAAACACAGTAAAAGTACTGGCTCTTTATTGGAGCAGCTCACTCTAACCATCACAATACGAGTTAGTTTTGGACAGGTTTTAAAGGCACATCAAAGTGTGCTTTCAGACAATGTTGGCTAAAAAAAGCAGGAATGCTGATATAAAGCAACAGAAACATGTTCAGAGTTTTTCCCCAATAAATAACGGGACAAAGGGTTTAAGTAGTTGAAGATGAGACGGGAAACAATATCTTACAAACAGTTCAAATGATTATTTTCTATATTTCAGGTGATTCATCTTAAAGACATAATAAATACAGGAATAAATACACTAAACCCTTTTTGTTGGAGGATCAATGTGATTTTCTCTCACTGATCCTTCACAGTAGTCACATACAGATCTGATTTTTCACTATTCTACAAAAAAAAAAACAACTTCATAAGGCCATTAAACTATTTCAAATCATTAAACAAAAAACACACGTTTTTTTAATAAAACATTTTATCCACATATGCAAACCCATAAACTTAAACAAAATTCTAAAATACAATATTTGTAATAATTATGTTCAAATCTACTTCTGATGTTTTACAATAAAACCCATCAGATGAAGCAGAAACGGTAAATATTCAAACAATTTGTGTTTATGATAAATTTTTATTTCTGCAATCCAGATTATTTTTGCCTATTAGAATTTTTTTTTTCTAATTTTAATTGCGGAAGGGGTGTATTAAAAAAAACAACTTATAAAGCAGGGATCCTGAAGCAAAAAGACACCACTGGGCATTGAACCATCAAACACTTAAACTAAATATAAAAATAAACAGCAACATTTCTGACTTTACTTACAACATTGGTACGAAACGTTTTCTAAAGTACCAAGTATTCAGACGGGCAACGCATTTTTCTTTAACAATATATGTTACATGCAGTTAGTTACAAAAGGTAGACCTACATACACTTTGGTAAAACAAAATAGATCCCTAACTATAATACACATCGCAAAATATACAACTTCCTGAAATCTTGAATCGTCACATGCAGGCAGGACAATTTAGTGACACAAACATTTATATTTTATTTGCTTTACATTTGAGGACCAGGCTAATAGAATCTTGTCTAATCTTATTTACAAGATCTCAAACGTTTACACGGAAGTGTCAGGAAACAACACAATCGTCCTAATGACGTTCTGCAACTAACCATGTTTCACACAAAGACGATCTTCACTGACAACTGCACTTTTACACAAACGGACCGTTACAGTATGTAGGGCTAAGATTTCTGTGTTTTTTCATCTAAAGATGAAAAAAAAAACTTTTCATTGAACTTTAGGGTAAGGATTCACCTAAGACTTTTAGGGGCGATGGTGGTAGAAGAATAAAGTGCTAACCCCGTAACCAAAGGGTTGCAGATTCGATCCCTGCTCAGACTGTTTTAGTCATTTAGGCCTTCCACAGCTCTGCTCGACCCAGAGAGGCTATGGAATGTCCACATCCACGTAGCCTAGATTTAATTCACACGCAGACCCCTATTCTCGAGGTGGTTTGCTTGGAGCCAAACTGGACCAACACACCCACTGCCACTGGTCGGCTCAAATTCACGCCTACCATTAGGGGGACCCTCTGATTGGCAGATAGAATCAGTGGGAGCTACCCGCATGCACGATTCATTATTGTTTACTGGGAAGGAAATGACTCTCTACTGTGAGAGCACACACACACACACACACACACACACACACACACACACATACACACACACACACACACACACACAGCACTGCGAGGCTTGAGCTGCCCCGTGGGAGGACAGATACAGCAGAGCAGAATATCAGTATCAGTATTTAAAAGCTCACAGCTGCCATTTGTGTTTACCGTGGACTTCTCCGCGCATCCTTTTCCCCGCCCACATGCACTCATGACATCACTGATATCTTCTCACCAATTTTGGAGACCGCCCATATGCTCAGTCATGTCCCCATTGCATTCGTGTGTGAAGCCAGCGCTAGTGTGGAAGGGGCTATTGTGTCCTTGGGCAAGACACTTCCCTCTCCTTCTTGCTGGTAGTAGACGGAGGGACCGGTGGCGCTTGTGTTCTGCAGCCTCGCCGCTGTCAGTGAGCTTCAGGGCAGCTGTGGCTACATTGTGGCTCATGACCTCCGGTGTGTGAATAAATGTGTGTGAGTGGATGACTTGTATGTTGGGGGACTGTAGAACTCTAGAAGGCACTATATCAAATACAGACCATTGACCATTCAGTGTCTATTGATGACTTTTTAAAAAAGGCTTTGGGAAAATGTTGGTGTGCAGTATTTTACCCAAAGTGACCCAACTGAAGACCATTGTGCCCTTGCCTGTTCTGTCGCAGGTGAAGAGAAGTGCATGGATTATCATGAATTTCTCCAAACTCTACAAACAGATTTAAAGGTGTGGATCACTCGTTTAATCAATACATTTGCAGTGGTCTCTAGTAGGAATGAACAACTTGTGTGTTGTACTCTGGGGAAACAAAGCTCCAGTGCACCAGTTTCAGGAACTAGAAGTGAGCTACATTAGATTTGAGCTAGGCCTTCCACAACAGCTCTGATGACAAGATTTGGAGTTTATTTCCTGATATTTGGACATCTCGCCTCTGACTGGCTAACAGCAACGCAACTCTACCACAGACTCTGTTTGCTTAGCAATGTTGATGTTTCATCTCCACAAATAACACAAGCCTGAAGGAGTTCTGCTGTGTGGAGGAGTTGCTAATGCTAATGGTTAGCTTCTACTAACTGAAATGTCCTCTGCTGTTTCTTGGATGTAAAACTAACCACAGCCTTTCCTGTTGTGAGTCAAGATGGGTGAATCCATAAATGTTAAGTGACAGTGTGATGTAGAACTGCCAGGCTTTTCAAATCTTAAGTTTTCACCATCTATTTTCTATCAGAAGCTAATGCAGCTGATTGGTGTAGGGGACTATTTTCCTGTTCAGCCTGCATAAAAAACTCAGGACTGACTGAATATAATCAGAAATAAGATTTTAAAAATGTATTTTTAGTAGGGGTGGGCCGTTATCGGCGTTAACGCGCTGCGGCAAAGCCAGACTCTTATCGCGCGATAAAAAAAATGATGCCGTTAATCTATTCTAAAAAGTTGGGTTGGGATCTGGGTCTATACTAAGTAAACTATGATGACTTTCACATTGCGCGGATGGATACCTGGTTGGCGCGGATGTATACTCGGCGCGGATCATCGTACGTATGGACGGACGCCAGGCTCGCGGAGTTTAATGTTCCCCATGCAGCCGAACAGTCGCACCTTCGCCATCAGCAGCGCTTCTCCCTTCTCATCGCGCAGGACAAGTAAATAATTTATGTACTTTCACCAGAGTTTAATCCTTAAATCCGACTTTCATTCTTTTTATTTTGTTTTGTTTACCTCCGACATTTCCAGCTGGGCTTTCCCCAGGCCACACTTCACCGTCCGCGGCCAAAGCAGCGCTTGGATGTGAGAAAACCGAGACAAGACTTTCTCAGACAGGTGCGGTTTCCAACTAAGTTTATCTCTTTTAGCAGCTGTTTATTGTGATAAAGTGATAAATTGTTTCTACAGGTCGTTGTTCATGTGGCTTCGACTCAAATTCACCTGTAATAATAAACGTTTTACTCATAAATTTTTATATTTGTTTAGAAAAGTTGAGCTAGGATAACTCCCCTTGCCGTTTTCAGAAACAACAACAGCAACAGTTGGCTTCTGCTCATACAGGTGAGCTGTGGCATCATTTCCAGCTCTCGCTCCTATTCACCAGAGGTGATCCTACATGCAAACTAAAGGGGGGCATTGGAAGGGCACCCCAGAAATTTAACCCCCTCCCTAGGCCAGATAGTTTGTGTGTGTGTGCGTGTGTGTGTGTATATCTATATACTTTTTTTTCTTTAGCAGGCCATATTGTGCAGAAGAGAAGAACTAGTTTGTCACCAGACAATGTGAACAAATTGGTCTGCTTGAGTGACTGGTGGAAGAAGGAGAAATAGAGCTTGGACTGATTGACCAAATGCTACTGACTGTAAATAGTTAATCATGACCTATTCTGTAGACCTACAGTGCAGAATTTGTTGAACTGAATAAACAGCTATTAAACACAAATTCTTATTGATCATTATTTATTTTCATCATCAGTTATCGTAGTAAAACTGCTTTATCAGTCTGTGATGCATTATTGAAACAAGAAATACGCCTCCATTCTCAAAGACTTGCTGTTATTCATTATCTAGGTAGCACACACATATGCCTTTGGCAGAATTTGAATGAGCCATTTTAATCTAGATTAATCTAGATTAATTCCAAGATTACAGTGAGATTAATTTAGATTTAAAAAAATAATAATCTATGCCCACCACTAATTTTTAGGTGTTCCACACCTTTACACTTGATTCAGTTTCACTGATGGGCATATTTTTGGGTAGATTTAGGGGATTGCAATAATACTATGGGGGGGTGGGGGGGGGGGGGGGGGGGGGGGGGGGGGGGGGGGGGGGGGGGGGGGGGGGGGGGGGGGGGGGGGGACGTGTTTTATTTAAAAAACTGCAATTTGTTTTGGCTATTAGCGTTGCAATACTTGGCTCCCGTTTATTTTGATATATTGTTTTGCCAAATTCTTGCCAATACACTCCTAACGTCAATCTTAAAGGGATACTATGTAGGGCTGAACGATTAATTGCATATGCAATTAAATTGCGATGTGACAAAAGGGGAGATTTTCTAATCGCAAAGGCTGCGATTTGACTGGCAGCAAGTAGTTAGCACAATGCTAATATACATGGAAAAAAAACCCATAGAGATGCTAATGCTAATATCGCCGATTGCATTCTTACAAATTACGAATTAGGAAGATGCCAAATGTTTACATTTGAAGTCTAATAAAAAGTAAAAACTGCCATCAATCAATTAAGTACAGGCAGATATTTTACTAAAGCTAGAAATCCACAAGAGACTTTAATTCCACTGAGTTTTGGCTAGCAGCTATGGATGTAACTGAACTATGGAAGCTCTGCATGGACAAGACGTCAAAAACTCTAAACACAAAATACCTCAATAAATGGGACACACTTCTTTCCTGCAAATACATTTTTACAGTTGATGCTAATACCTATGCTCCTTTAGGGGATATGCTCCTGGGTGCAAAGCATTGTGCCTTCAAATACAAAATGTTGTCTTTACTTGTGAGTGTTTATGTATTTGTAGACTAATAAACTTGTTAATATGATATGTAGATAAATGTGTAGATTCATAAACCTGTTTAAATTCAGTACAAGTTAAATAGTTTTTTTGCTTCTGCTAGTTGAAAAATATGACAAAAGCCCCTTGAGAAAATTATCGTGAATTAAATTGCAATTGCAATATTGAAGGAAAAAATAATCGCAATTAGATTACTTTCCAGAACCGCTCAGCCCTAATACTATTCAACTTCTTTATATTTTTAAATCATTTTCTTGCTGATTTGTTTGATTTAGTGATGAACTGAGGAGACATTTCAGCTGTTAAATTAAGGTGTCAAAAAGACAAACGCACAGCAAGGAGGTACTTTTTACTTTTGCTTTGACCACAGATAATTAATAATGGGCACTAGGGAGTGCTAAAAGCAAGCAAAACTGCTTAGTATCCCTTTAATGTGTAGTGTTCAATACATAAGTTGCCCCACCCGCTGCAGCAAGACTAACTTCAATTCTTCTGGTGAAGGCTTTCCACAATGTTTAGTCACGTCATTATTGGAATTATTGACTATTCTTTTAGAGGCTCATTCATAACAACAAGCTTTGATTTTGTATGAGAAGACGAAGCTCAGAGTTCCTGCTCTAAATCATCCCGAGGGCTTTCTATTGGGTTGAGGTCAAGACTGCAGGCCATCCAGTTGCTCCACAAGGAAGTAATTCAACTGTTACTTATTTGAATGTCTGAATGCATGTATTTGATGGAGAGTTCCAATGCTTTTGATTATTTACTGTATGAACATTTCTAGCAGGTGTTCATTGAGGGAGTGAATGTTCTCCTCATGCAGCACTTTCGTTTGTCAAACACACACACACACACACACACACACACACACACACACACACACACACACACACACACACACACACACACACACACACACTTAACTGACTTTAAGCTAGTGCAGAACCATTCTGGCATTCATTGGTTTTAATCTATATGTTCGACCTTAATTTATATAACCACAAAAAATAGACATCCGGAGAGTAAAAAAAAAAAAATAACACCTCTGTTACAAAAGAGTAGGAAATAATTGTGTTCTACTCCGACAGAACTCCAAGATCTTCTAAGCTGAGGGAAAAAGAATAAAATAGACCTTCACTGAAGAATAAAGTCACAGCATCGTCGTCCTGGATGTGCTTCTGCATGCAGCTCCAGTTACTTTTCATGGGTTTTATTCTGCAGGTAACTGAAGAGTGCTTCCAGTCCTTTGGTTGAACACCACAGCTGCTTCAGCATCTGACACTCTTTCTCATTCACTTCTTCTAGAATTGGTATGAGGATGCTCCTAACCAAACATTTGGACTCTTCTAAAACCTTTAGAACAAACAAAAGATAGAAAGGCTTATTTAGTTATGAATAACAAACAAATTTGCCCTAAAAGTTGTTCAAATCAGGACCTACCACAGCACTGCAGGATGCCATTTCCTTTACACGTAGCATCACCTCTTGGTTAAACGTTGTCGGCCAGAAGACCTGTGAAATCAGACCTCGACTGCATGCTTCCTGAGCTGTCAGTTTTCTTCCACAAAACAACATCTCGTTGGCCTGCAACAGAGGGGAAGTGTTGATGATAAATTATTCAGGAGGTAGACTTAAAAGAAATGGGAATATTTTCTGCGACGCACCAGAGCTACACCCAGGATCTGTGGGAAGGTGTAAGAGGAGCATCCAGAGGGTGTGAGGTGGAGAGCTGCACATGGCGTTTGGAACCAGGCCCGCTCACTTGCCCAAACGACATCACACAGAGGGAGGATAGAAGCCCCCAAACCCAAGGCAGGCCCATTTATCGCCACCACAATGGGTTTCTTGAAGTGGATAAATGCTAATACAAAGTCCCTGAAGGGGTGAAGAGAAGAACTCTGCACTTTTTACCAGATTAGCTGCATGTTGTAATGAAAAAGTCAGTGGACAGACATCTTACCGTACAGCCTCTGCAATGCGACTGCTCTCTTTCCTGCGGTCTGTAGACAGACGGCCTATTAGGTAGGACGGCTCCAAGCCACTACAGAAAACTGTCCCCACAGAGCTGAGCAGTAATAAACTTACTATCATCAGCAGCTGCATTACCCAAAGCTCGACAACTTCCTTCATAATCTAGAAAAAAAAACAACCAAGGATTAATGAACAATTCAAAGCTTCC